TTTATGAAATAACAGCCGATCAATCAAGATTTTCCAAATTTTACTGCGGAATTTATTAATATTTTAAAACTTCATTTCAAAATAACTCGATAACGCTCTCATAGATTTTCCTCAAAGTTCACTTTGCAGCTTGCCATTCTCATGGTACAAAACCGTCCACAAAAGAGACACTGGGACAACACAAATAAAGGAAGGTACCATTTAAAATTACGTATGCCTCTTGTTGGTCTTGCCCCAGTGCGACTTTTGCGTCCCAGCATGGCGGTTTTGTATCACGTGAATGGCAAGCTGTGAAGGCAGGGGCACCCAACGACAATTTTCGGAAAACATCTGTTCGGAAGACGATTTGAGATCTAGAATTTTCGGAACATATGTTGTAAAATTTATTGCTTGCCTGCCTCTCCTAGGATTTTCGAACATCTACAAAATGGTATAATTACCCATTTTTAACGGATTTTGACCCTAAAAAAGGCCACCTAGAAGTTTCGGGAGCCTTTTTCTGGCTGAAATTTTCGAGAAGGTAAGTTTTTATCCCTATTAATTTTCGGATCACTAGACTTTCAGCTACGAAATCCGAACAGATGAAAAATTTTTAGGGGATAAAAATATGCCTATATCTACCGTTTAAATACTAAAATACGTTCAACAATGCTATGTTAAGGGGCTTTGAACTATATCCTCGTTGGGTGCCCCTGCGAAGGGCCTATTAGAGGAAGAAGCTCCCTTGAACTAGTGCCGAGAAATACGGCCGCGAGGTAAAAATGTTAATAAAGTCGTTACGTGGCATAATACTGATTTTTATCTAATACTCCAGTGGTGGTCATTTACCATATCTTTGTTAATGGCAACGTATTCAGTGCACAAACATGGGAGGTATTGACCCCGAAAAATCCAATCGAGCCACCTTAAGGTCCCTTATGTTTCACTACTGACTACTTCTGTGCTTGTAGGAACCCAAAACATGGTCAGAGTGTCAGGTGATCGTTGCCAAAGGTTCCTCCTGCTTTTCATCATTTTTAGAGGACTGGATTTGCGTCAGTGAGAAGCCCCGAGATGAGGACGTATTTTCCAACTACATTGGAAAAGACTGTGAAGATATACGAAGGAAGCAATTTCCTCACCCTACCCCTACACAAGAAGAAAAGGACTTTCCAATCGCTTACGCTATGGTTGCATTCACTAACGCGAATTTAGCAGAGAAAGTTTTACAATCCATTTACATGCCGCATAATATTTACTGCATTCACGTAGATGTAAAATCCTCTGAGGCATTTCGCTATGCAATGTGGGCCATGAGTAGTTGCTTTGACAACGTTTTTCTGACCACGAAAACAGTAGACCTTATATGGGCACATGTCAGTACCCTATATGCACAGCGAAACTGCTTAAGTGACTTAATGGAAAGCCCAGTACAGTGGAAATATTTTATGCATATATCTGGACAGGAGTTGCCACTTTACCAGAATGCCGAAATTGTGCGCGCTCTTGTCAATCTGAATGGGTTTAACAACATTGAAAGCTTTGCCATACCTAAAGGCAACTGGCCTCGAATGTTGTACTCACATAGGGTAGAGGTTGTTAAAGGTGCAGATTTTCATAGCAGATACAAGTGGTCTCGGACTGATATCGCGAAAGGTCCCGCCCCTTGGGGAATTCAGCTAAAGAAGGGCTCTAACTTTGTGGCTCTCACTCGTGAAGCTGCCAACTTTATCCTTCATAATAAAGTAGCGATCGACTTTCTGTCATGGCTGAATGACACTGAATCTCCAGACGAAGCATTCTATTCTT